ATTTAGAAGGAAAATGCTTTTAAATCATGGATCCATCAAGAGTGAATTGAAGTACAGTTTTCACACGAGAATGATCATGCAAGAAATTCTTCTTTGATATGATAACTGGTTATTTCGACAAAGAAACATTTTTAATATAACCTGACACATAAGCTTATAGGTTGTGCCATATGGAAAGTTATTAATTACAGTGGGGAATGTGTATATTGTTATTTTACAAGCAGGCACAAGCTTAATGTGGGAAATGCTGCTTGCTGTTAACTGGGTTCACCCAGCGTCTCTCATTTGGAAGAATGGGCACGTTTAGCTCATGTCTGTCTGCAAAATGTCATGTACCCATGAAGGAGATGAGGGATTAGTCAAAGGCAATAAGGAACTAGTTAGCAGAAAGGCAGCAGCAAACAGTTTTCAAGGAAGAAATGTTAAGGTCCAAGGATTTCACTAGTGGAATTTCTCTCCACTTTCTTACCAGTTGTGCTGAACCAGTTTTCTTTAATGCTGTCATTGAGGACCTTTGGCATGAAGAGCAGCAGTGCAACAAAATTGCTTGATGATACAGAGCTGAGAGTTGTTTTTAATAAGACGTGGAGATATTATTAATACAAAGTTCAAGCTGTCTTGCAGAAAGATTGGGATGGCCTCAAGTACTGGAAAAAACAAAAGCAGTGGGGTGGAATTTTGGTGCCAAGTGTAAGGTATTATCTTTTCAAGATGAATAAGAGTTTCCACTGTCAACTGGGTAATACGTGTGCAGGAGAACAGGCTGGAGGGTGACTGTGAGCAAAAAGAATGCAAGAATGTGTCAGGTAAGAAGAGGTTTCCACTGGCATTAGTACAGAGTACTAAGGAGAGATGTGTTTAAATTGATCAGGGTAATTAAGAGCCTGCTTAGTGAGAGGTAACAGAAAAGGTTGTTTGTTTAGCCTGTCTCAGAAAGGAAAAATAAATGCTTATTATAAAAATATATATCTATTTATAGGAATATATGTGCTATCTATAAATGCATGAGAAAATAAATCAATTAAAATAAAGCTATGGAACTTTATTAGTCAAGTTAATTGGATTTTTTCCCTTCTGTTGGATATTGAAAAATCTTACAAAAGCCATCTCTCACACAAAGGTGAGGTTCCAAAGAGAACCTGACAGCATAGGATACTGTGTGTTCTTATCTCTTTCAATTTAGATTAGAGTTGAGGGTGCTCGTGTTTGCCCTAGAGGAATTAGGAAAACATAAAACTAGTTTTACCCTCTGTTTTCCTTTGCTTAAGTCTTGTATTTTTCCAAACTTTGTGGTAAGAAAACACATGACATTGTTCCTTTAAATTTTTTGAAGCAAAAGAAACAGCAAAAGTATCAGTACTGAGATTTTCTTTTTCTTTTGAGAACACCTATTTTAAGTTTGATAGGTAGCAAGTAGATTTTATATTTAATTAGAAAATTTAAATTTTCGCCAAATAACTGCTAAAATGCAAAATGAGAAAGTAAAGAAACAGGAAGGTTTGCAGGAAGATGGATAGGGAGACAGAGAGTGGGAAAGTATCTATCCACATTAAACCAAATATGAAAGTGTAGGAACTTCTGGACAAAACAAATCTTCAGTGTCTTTCAGGGTAAACAGGAACTTTGCTGAGAGTGACACCTATACCTAAAGGTGACCAAGCCCTCTTCTAAAGTGACCTTTTTAGGAGAAACTACCACTAGAGGAACCTGAGTGTAATTCTTCTTCTTGCTTCTTCTTTACCCAACCTTCCAAATCAATTTAATCAAAACAAATCAATTTCTGAGAAAAGTTCTGATTTCCACAGCTTGACATTTTCCAGAGGAACAATATTTTGTTAAAAAGTTCTCAAGCAGCTATTGTTATTATTAGAGGTGAGCTCATGCAGGATTTTTGCCATATGCACTATGGATGGATTTCAATATACATTCAGGAGTCTTCCAAATTCTTTATAGTAGAGCAGATGCCATTATTTTAGTTAGCAATTTAACTTTGTGATGGGCACTGTTAAATCTCTGGCTTGGGAGGATATTTGACTCATTTATTTGTGTTTACCACCCTTCAGGCCTGTGAACAATGGGTCATTTTGTCACATGGCTGCATGCTGGGCACGGAGACTCTTGTGCTTGGATTTTTGTTGGTCTCATGAAGCTTCTTAGTATAAACTCCACTGGAAGTTACTGAGGAGGCTAACAAATGTCTATTTTTCTTCACTTTTTGTAGCTCTTGGGTTTGTTGGGTTTTTTAAAATCCAAAGAACCTGAATCTTCTGTTATTTTTATTGGTACAAACCCAGATGCAAACCCAGTCAAGTCAGTGCAGTTTTTTCTGCTGAAAAATTGACATAAATAATAGTCTTAAGACTCTAGTGCCTCTGACTGTTGTCCTCAAAGGCAAGTGGAACATTAGGTGTATGTTTTATGATAGTTCTCCAAAGAGACTAGCCGTTAATCTCTCTGAGTAGGTGTGTCAGCTGCAAACATTTCCTTCCAGTCTACCATTTCAATCACACTTCACAGTACACTGAAAATTGGCAAGGATGTTAATTACTGGCCTCTAGAACAAACCACCTACTTTGATTCAAGCATGTTTTCCAATTTTTAAGAATGTTGTTTCACCTTCAGAACAGTATAATTACAGAAAATAGCTTGGTTTGGCTAACATCTTGTGTTCTGTGAGTTCTGCTTGCAAGGCAGCAAGCCACACCAGGCAAGAGGCTCACCTACAGAGGATTTTAACCTCTTGCTGACAGAAGTTAGGGCTTGCCAGGATCCAGTACATTGTTTTCAGTGTCAGAAGCTCAAAACCACTGTCACTCAGATGTTAAACATTAACGCTTTCTGCTTTTAAAACTGAAGGAACGCCCCCCCCATATAGTAAGAAAGTTTTTATTCACCAGGGAACTTCCTGTTAAAATTTTATGGATGTCTCACAGGAGCAATTACAGCAGTGGGACCTGTACCTGAGCAGTGCAAAACCCTGGGTGCAACATGACCCACCAGCAACATGGTTCAGAGACTGCTTGTGTAGCTGCATTTGTGCAATGCAGAGTTCAATAAAATTTGCCAGGAATCAGCCAAGTATCCAGGACATGATTAATCAACCAGCAGAATGAATTGCCCATAGATGACTGGGAGTTGACAGTAAACAGTAAAACACCTGCCTTGAAGACTTGCAGTCTTAAGAGACAAGCAGGAAACAGAAGCAAGTGGGAGCCCTGTTTTAGGAGAGAGATTTTGAGGCATACAGGCAGAATTGTTCATGATTATACAGTGAATTTGGCAGACTTAGAGGCTGAACTGTGTGCATTTCCCTTCATGGGTTTGTAGCTCATATAACAGGTCTTTAATTTACCAAGAAACTTTTCCGCAACACTGTCCTGAAGAGTTGGCAGAATCCACAGCTGGCATTTCTCACACATGTGCCTCTTGGTTTAGGGCCCTACAATTAGTACAATTAATAACTTACACCATGAATTAAAAACATGGAAAACAGCCCAAGGCTCAGGCTCATGTGTCAAGGAATTGCTGTGGAAGCCTGATCTTATTTGTTGTTACAACAATAAATCATGATTTTAAAATAATTTATATGGTACCTGGGCCCTCAAGGCAGTCCTGCAGTGCTATTGAAACTGGACTTCAATGGTGATTAAGCTATAGACCTATATTAAATATGCATGAATACTTATTTCTCCCTGCCTCCTCTTTAAGGCCTGTTGGGGCTGGATACCTTCCTGACTTACAAGCCACATGCTGCAATTTCCATGATAGTCATGAGTCACTCCCTTCAGTGAGAACCAAGGACGAGGGGGAGTGTTCAGTGGGGCTCACAGATGGGAGATGACTGATTGCTCAGGGATTCCCTCACCCTTCTATAAACCAGATCCTGGGTAAGAATGCACCCAGATCCCGGTGTGTGCTCTCTCTGCAGTTCCCTGCTGGTTTATTGCCTGCCACTGCTCAGGGTCCCGGATATCCAGCAGCTCTTCTGCTGCTGACATCAGCCAGGGGCTGCCACCATGGGAACTGCCCTTAGCAGCCAGGGGGCCATGTCCAGGCTGGAGTCATGTGTCAGTAGTTCATGGCCTTGCTTCACTTTCTGTATGTTGGTCAACCGTTTTGCAGTATAGCAACACATATATTATATGAAATATGTTTGCTGATAACCACCTCACTGAACTGAAGAGTTCTAACCTTAGGTATTCAAAAAACTTACTATATACATGGGAGAAGCAGTTCAAAACATAATTCTGCTAGGGGGAAAAAAATCTAGCAACAAATTCAGTGCTAGAAAAAGAATATTTCATAAGAATTAAACAGGCTGGGTTAGTGCTCGTTTTCTTCCTGGTGGCTGATACAGTGCTCTGTTTTAGATTCAGTATGCAAATAATGTTGATGACTGATGTTTTAGATGTTGCTAAGTGGTGCTTGCCCTAAGTCAAGGACTTTCATTGTTTCCTGCACTGCCAGTGAGGAGGTACACAAAAAGCTGGGAGGGAGCATGGTCAGGACAACTGACCAAAGTGGCCAGAGGGACATTCTGTGTGATAGAACATCACACCCTGTGTATAAAATGGGGGGAGTTACCAGGAAGGAGTGTGTCATGGCTCAGGGACAGGCTTGGCATTAGTCAGAGGTGGTGAACAGTTGTATTGTGCATCACTTGTCTGTCTTGGGATTTATCTCCCTCTGTCCATCTCCTTTTTACTACAATTACTTGTATTAGTATCATTATTTTTTACTCTGTTTCAATTATTTAACTGTTCTTATCTCATCGACAAGTTTGATTTTCTTTTCTTTCCTGATTCTCCTCACCATGCCCATCAGCGGGAGGAAGGGCAAGTGGCCAAGCAGCTGCACGGTTAAATCACAACACTGTGTTACATAACAATATAACTCTATTACACTGCGTGCAATTTGAAATTATTGCACCGGTTGATATGTTTTCAAAAAAGTATGGGTATTCTGAATAAATTGGTTATTGGTTGTTTATCATTTCACAGGCAGAACTGATAGCTTTGCAACAAGAAAAGGAAGCTGCTCTTCAACAGTGCAAAAAACTAGAAGAGGAAATCCAAACATTGCGTGTTTATTACAGGTAAAATGATTGATTCTAATATGAATGAGTGACTCATAGGGGAAATTTTCTGTATGATGTCTGACTGAGTAAGGAAATGGTCTTATCAAATAGGTATTTGTTGGAAAAATGTGAATACATCAATGAATCAAAGCCTGCGTTTCTGCTTTACTGCTCACCAACCATCTCTTTGAAATAGGAGTCCCTTTCTCATAGCCTGAATTTTGTATTAGTTTCTTCTAAGGGAAGTGAAAAATTGGTGGTGGTTGATTATCATACTAAAAAACTGTGCTATGTCTATGTGATCACTTAAAAAAAACATGGACAAAAGAACCAGATTACATACATGCTTGTTTCTTCCCTGATTGCTTGCATGTGCCTAACTTATAACATATGGATTTTAGAGTAATAAAATCTGTAATTCTAAAAGACTGTTTTCTTCCCCAATATATGTGCCTTATAATTCCCTATGTTCTGTAGCAGTATATAGAATGAGAGAAATACCCATTCTCATTAATTTAGGTGGGCTGAACTGAACATTTGCATGGATCAGTGGGTTTTAGTCCCTAAGGAAAAGCACTGTGTGGTCCAGTGAAGGAGTTAGGTTGTTTTATGGAGTGATGTTGGGTTACAGCTCTCATTTCATCCTGACCTCCTGTGTGAGAGGGGATACAGAGCTGCCAGCAGGTTAAAGGCAGGAGAATTGGCATCAACACAGCAGAAAATTGTGAATCTGAAGGCTGAATGTCTGTGATGAGGGATGTGGGCTACAGAGGTAAATAATAAATATAGTGTGAATACTATACTCATTGGAAATAAAGAGGACTAGTTATTTATGTCTAAAAAGCATTTGCAATAGCAGAACTGTGTATGTTTTCAGTGTTTCAGCAATCAAAGCGAAAAATACTCGGGTTTCTAGAGGTTTTTCAAGTTTCCCCTTCTCATTAAGTTTATTAAAACCTTGGAGGGAAGTTTTAAAAACAACTTTTGTTCCTAAATCTCATAGGCATTTATTTAAAGCCTGTTAATAGTGAATAGAAACCCCAAGCAATTTGTGATTATTGCATTTAATGAATTTGGTCAGCATTTAGTGTGTGCACAAATTATGGTATGATTTACCACGCTAGAAAGAATTTATTATGGTACCCTTATTACTCATTTAAATGGGTTTTTTTTTAATAATTTTAAAACTGAAATGCAATTTTTAATTGATATTTCAAAAATTAAGAATTTCCTTCTCTTGGTCTGTGTGCATTGTAGGAGATTTTCACTGATTTTGAGTTATATTTTTGGCATAGCCTATTAAGTTTGCACTAATATACAATATTTAAGAAGTATAGTAAGCAGCAACGGCCACTTACTTGTGTAGATGCTTTAAATCCCAGAAATATTAACAATAATGACTTGCAGGAATCAGCATTAGAATGTACCATGTTATTAACTTACAGCACTTAATTTGAACAGTCAAAAATTTACCTTAATTTGGCTGACAGCATTTGCAAAATCTGTCCATAAGGTGGGGAAAAGCTCACCTGGTTATCCGCTGGGGAAAGAACTCATGTATCACTACTGATTTATACAAGTTACAACATCTAAAGTTGCAGACTTTATGTGCTGCCAGCTCACTGTTCTAGAGGTTAATGTGTTCTGAAGTGGACCCACAGAGTGACTGACTGAGGTTGGCAGGGACCTATGGAGGTCATCTTGTCCAGCCTCTGCTCAGGCAGGGTCACTGAAGCCTGGTTGCCCAGGACCACATCCACAGGGGTTTTGGATGTCTTTAAGTATGGAGAGTCCACTCTGTATGGAAACACTGTCTTAAGCATACAAAGACATGACTTGAAACGCCAGAGGCCACCTTGACCTTAACCTACAAGGGTTGTAAAAGGCAACAAGGACTCCTGTAAGTGCATAAGCAGCAACATTTGATGTCTCAGGTCTATCTTTTGACTTGATTAGAAATTAATTGCAGCATTATGAGGAGTCTTATGAACTTCTTAACATTTTGGTTACATGAACGTCTACAGCCCTTGTCATCCAACAGTGTGGCAGTACTTTACACACGTTCCAGATGAGACAGAAAATAATATATGACACGTGCATAAAGCTCTGGGGACTGTACCAGGCCAAGGGTGGGATGGCCACATAATTATGAATGATCAGGTAGACAGTGCATTCCTCAAGCCATCCCAAATGAATGAAAATTTGCACTCTTGTTTTGTATGTGGAAGGGATGTGTGTATAGATGTCTGCTGGGTCTTTTCATTTCCTCATAGCACTTGCCATGCTATGATAGTCTAGAATAAGCACTGAGAGTGTTTTTGGGAGGTCTGTTTTGAACTAAGGTGGAAGTTTGCTGCTTTGATCCAAGTGAGTTGCTATTCAAGACTGCATTCCCTGGAGTTATTTCCCTGAAGTATATGATTTGCTGTTGAAGACTGCATTCCCTGGAGTTGCTTCTCTTTTTTGGATTTCAGAATTCCCCAGTGAGCAAAATATAGGCTTCCACACATGCTCCAATCTTCATGTGAACTGTAAAACTGCAATGTGGTAATGCTGGGTGCACATTCCCTTCACCTGCCGTTCTCTCATGTCGTTGCCAGATTCTTACACTTCCTGTCTTAAGCCCCAGTACGACAGGGGCTTAAGAATTTTGGCTCATCTGGTGGCTTCTCCTTTTCCTCTTATGTCTTCCCTGTCCTTACAAAAAGCATTTCTCCTACTTTATTCTTTTTCTCCTTTTTTAACTGAGATTTCTATGGGTCGTGGTTTAGGAATGGTACTCCCCAGTTTAGTGCTCCTGCTGAGACTCTCCAATCCACACGTGCCATTCACTCATTCCCCCCTTCCCCCTCCTGCTTCCCCTGCAACAGGACAGAAAAGAGAATTGGAGGCACAAAAGGTGACAATCAAGAGTTGAGATAAGAATAATTTACTGGTAACAGCAATATGACAAGAAACTGAACAGTAACAGCTACAATATTAATAACAAAAGTGTACAAAAGAGAAAGAGTGATTCGCATGCACAATTCTCACCCCAACCCAACGACAGCCACACTATCCCAATGGGAAGGAACCCCTTCTCCTCAGAGGAGACTCCCTTCTCCCCCCAAATCAGGAAAATATCCTGATGTGGTATAGAATATCCTCTGGGTCATAGCCATGCTCCCTCCTGGCTACTGCAAAAACTAACCCTGTCCTGGCCAGAACCAGGACACTACATCATCCTTTAACTTAGAAGAAGCAAATTTAAGAAAACAAAAACAAATAAACATGACAGAACAAAACAAAGCAAAAAAATGCAACAACAACAACAAAGGAAACAAAAAAAAGCCCCTAGAGGCCCCCATTAAAGCATACAAGTGATACTTACGTCACTTGTACTTGTGCCTTAACACACAGTAACATTTTAAGGATTTGGTCACAAAAGTAATGACTGTGTGTGTATATTAACTATTTTGGATGCATATGCGTGTAACAAAACATTAAAATGTTCATTTTTATACCAATCTGACTTCCACTAACATTAGTATAATCCAGGAAAAGCAAAGTATCATTTTATCATACAAAATCAGGAGAGAGACACTTAGATCCAGATCTGTATGTGTGAAGTGAGTACATGCTGGCATGCCCAAAGGAAGGAAACAAGTAAAGACCTTCAGGGGAAAAAAATATCCCTTTTTATTTTCTCCACTGGAAAGATTCTTGGTATCTAGAACACTGCATCCAGTTTTAGGTCCCCAGTAAAAGTAAGACATCTGTAAATTGGAGGAAGTTTGACAGAGGGCAACTGGTACTGTCAGGAAGCCATAGCAATGTAAAGAGAGACCAAGGGTACTGCTCTTGTACAGCCTGGGAAAGAAAAAATATTCCTTTCTTTGTTGGCTCCAGGGAGACCTAATGGCAGCCTGACAGAGTCTGTGCAGAGGTTGTCAAGAAGGGCTGCCTCTTCACAGTGCTCCATGACAACAGGGTGAGAAACAACTGACTTGAATTGAAACAAGAGAGCTTCAGACAGGTTACAAGGAAAAACGAGGCTCTCCATCTGTGGAACAGGTTGCCAGAGAGGTTTTACTATCTCCATCCTTGGAGATTTTCAGTGTCTAATGTGATAAAGTCATGAATAACATGGTGTGATCTCATATTGATATCCCTTTGAGAAGAAGTTGGGTTGGACTGGAGATTGCCAGTGGTCACTTCCAACTCATTATTCTACAATTCTCTGATCTGGTAGCTGCTGCTGCTTGAAGACATTCATTTTTTTTCCTCCAGCTGTGAAAGAAGTCTGTGTTGTAAACTACACTTCTTTTCAGGTGAAGTGAAAAAGCAAATCCTAACTGAAACTGGAACTGGAAAGCCAGAATGGCCTAACCCAAAATTAAAATTAGCTTTTGCAGATATATGAGGAAACATTTATTTCCTTCTGAATTTTGACTTTCTGAAAAGAACGCATATCCCAGAACTATTTTAGTCTTCTTTAGAAGGGGCAGAGAAATGAAACGGAATTAAAAAGGAGGAAGAATCTAATTCAAATACATAAGGAAAAAGAAGCTGGCTACAAATATAGTTTGGCAAGTTCTGTGCTTCTGTTTGCTTTTCTTGTGTTTCTCTGTGTCAAGTTTCAAAAAGAAAATTGCGTTTTATGGATGCTAACTCAAAAATACATACCAGAAATTAAAATTTGCATAAGAGGGATAGCATAGAGTTTCTAGCTTACTAATATATTGTTTCAACACAGTGCTCTTTAAGCTAGAGATTAATGCAAATCATAAGATTCTCAGTGTCCAAAGAAAGCTATATCCAAATAATCCATTTTGAAGTACATGAGAGTGTTAATCCCACTACCTCTTTCTCACATACCTCTGTTGTTTGAACACTATTGCAAGTTTTTTATTTGCGTATTTTTCAGTTATGTGATATGTCCAGTTTTATAATCAGGCTCCTTCTTCCCCTCGATTTATATGCTGAGTGTGACACCATATGGTATGGGATATGCCTTTGGTCAGTTGGAGTCAGCTGTT